GATGCGTTTCAATACGGACAAGTGCAGGGTGCTGCACTTGGGCAGTAGTAACCGGCAGCACACTTATAAGATGGGAAACTCCCTTCTTGAGAGCACGGAGGCAGAAAGGGATCTTGGAGTCATTATTGAACATGGGCCGACAGGGCAAGGTCACGGTCGGCAGGGCTAACTGGACCTTATCGTGCATCCACAGATGCACCTCAAGCAGGGCCAAGGAGGTGATCCTCCCCCTCTACGCGACACTGGTCAGGCTGCAGCTGGAGTACTGTGTCCAGTTCTGGGCACCCCACTTCAAGAGGGCTGTGGACAACATTGAAAGGGTCCAGAGGAGGGCCACCCGCATGATCCGGGGACAGCAGGGCAGACCCTACAGTGAAAGGCTGTGGGACCTGAACCTGTTCAGCCTTCACAAGAGAAGGCTGAGGGGGGACCTTGTGACCGTCTATAAACTCACTAGGGGGGACCAGAAGGGTTTGGGGGCGACCTTGTTTCCCCTAGCGCCCTCCAGGATAACAAGGAATAACGGCCACAAGTTGTTGAAGAGTAGGTTCAGATTAGATATCTATAAGAACTACTTCACAGTTAGGGCGGCTAGGATCTGGAACCGACTTCCAAGGGAAGTGGTGCTGGCTCCTACCCTGGTGGTCTTTAAGAAGAGGCTCGATGCCTACCTGGCTGGGGTCATTTGAGCCCAGTTTTCCTCCTGCCCAGGCAGGGGGTTGGACTTAAAGATCTACAAGGTCCCTTCCGACCCTACTTCTATAAGGAATAGTTCAGCATTTGAAAGGTATTTGTTTCCACACACCCCAAGTTCTCGCCCCCAGTCACACTTAGGGAATTGAGTTAAAGGCTGCAGAGCAAGGAAGTTGTTCATAGAAACTGCAGGATACATGGGACAAAAATCCAGAGCAGTTTGTTCCCCTTCTTATCTTACACTTACTATGAGAATCTTCTTAAACAAAGTCCTTGCCAGAATGATTGCGACTCTGGGATACCTTCTCAGTTACTTGAAGTAAGCACCAGAGGAGGAGGACGATAGGGCTGTGTGAAATGGCACTGTTCCAATTTGGATTTGGACTTGGCTGTTTTGGAGGGACAGTTATTTGATTCAGTGTTTCAGATCACTGTCCCAATTCGATTCGACCAAAACCGTTTCGGAATTTCCACACTGCTTTGGAGATTCGGCCATAGACTATAATGGGGAATCACTAAAATACCTGTAACTTGGTCATTTATTGGCTGAAAACTGCAGGAATGGTAGCCCCTTCTGTGGGAAAAAAGTCTGTTTAGTTTCAAGGAGATAGGTGCAGGGGTTTTTGTGAAAGTACACCTCAAACTGTTCAAAGCAAAACTTGTATCACTTGCCGGCAGCAGCAGCATTCCACATGCAGATCCAGGGGCCTGTGCCCCCTGGGAGGGCTGCAGGTCTGCGCCAGACTCCTCCCGGGGGGGATGTGGACCCCTGGATCTGTGCACAGGATGACAGCAGATTGCCGCTGCTGACTGGGGCCAGCGCCAGCACTGGGTTCTTTCCAGCACTCGACACAGGCTGCACCAAGCAGATTCAGGTGCTGGTGCTGGCCCCAGCTAGCAGTGGCAGCATGGTGTCATCCCGCACACAGATCCGGGGGCCCATGCCCCCCGAGAGGGCTGCAGGTCTGTGCCAGACTCCTTCCGCGGGGCCTGGGCTCCCAGATCCGCGCACAGGATGGCAGCAGGCTGCCATCCCTCCACCAGGGCACTGGGATTGGAAGGGACCTCAGGGACAGTTCAGACACTGGCCAGCTACACATGTCAGTATCAGAGCAGCCCCTTCTTCTTAGTTTCTGTTTCCCTGCAAGCCCAGCTCCGAAACTCTGAAATTTTCCAAAACATTTCAGATGCTTTTGTTTCATTTAAGAGCTTTTTCTCTGTTTCCCATTCCAATTCGGATTTGGTGTTTCAGGCATTGAAATGGGCCAGAACACCTCTGAAATGAAATGGCTGCCAAAGTTTCACATAGCCCTGGAGGATAACTACGGATGGACGGCACTCTCCACTGGCAACAACAGGAGGAGGACTTGGAAGACAGCAGCGAATCTGCTGTTGGTCTGTGCTGCTCAGAGCTACTAGGCTGAAATTCCACTATTTGAGCCCAGTTAATAAATAGTTTATAGATGGTTTGTAGATGCCCTCAGCACTAAAATTAATTTTGCCCTTGGAAAATGCTGTTGTCATCACATCAGCATCATCCAACTGAAATTGGTATGCTCTGTGCTACACAACAAAGTATATGTTTATTTTTATATTTCCATTTAGCTACTGATGATGTATTATTGAAACCACCAGTACATACCGGACAAAATTAATACATCCAAACAACAGTAAGAGAGAGACTGATCCAGTGAGCTAAAACTGGGACCCAACTGCTAATGCTTTGGCCATGCTGACTACAGGAAAAGGAGGGACCCTGAGAACACATTACTTCATATAATTTACTATTTGCTAAGCCCTTGCAATATCCTTACAAATTTTTTTAACACACATAATGCATAATTAACACCAACAACATTTCATAGTACACACCATTAATGAGCTGCAGAGAAACAGGGTCCAAAGCCAAAGAGATGTTTTCAAGGAAAGAATTCTTTTGAAGTATATCAGCAATATAATCTCGGAAGTCATTGATCGTGTATACAACAGTTGGGCTATCGCCTATCTCCGCGAAGGTGTCATCCTCCACTTTGTTGGACTGAAGATTAATTAGATCCCAGGTGGCATTAAGGATGGCTTTGCCATCAAAAATAGCAGCATAGTAAACTTCCACACCACTGAAGTTTTAAAAAGAGAAAAAAATTATAGATCAGAGCTAAAAAATTCCTAGCTATCAAATATTTTGGTCATTCTGAAGAGACAAAATTAACACTTTCAGAAACAGTACAACATTTTATGATGGCCTTGGTAAAACAGATTTAATTCTTTTTACTTTTGTTTCTACCTTCTATAAAATAACTGTACTGAGAGTCAAAGTCTATGCTGTGAAATATTCAGGCCACCAGATCATGGAATCTAGTCGTCACAGTATTTCCACTTATAAGGGGTGGAAATGCCATGAAGAAGTCATGAGTTTGACTTGATATCATGGTCATTAACAGTCACACAAGTATCCACAGGTAGAAATACTTTGTGGATAAGAATTCAAAGGTTTTACTAAGACTTGTTAACACCATGGATGGCTGCAAGGCATAAAGCAGCCTGGAAAGAAGTAGATAAACACAGATATAAACACCTGGGAGTCTGTGATCACCCTTGTTGTGTAGCTAAAACCTGCTCTAAATGGTGTTCTTGATAGCATTTAAGTTGTGTCCATTTTACCATGCATGCCTAGAAAAGTTTAATTTATTTCAATGTTGTTTCTCCTCATTAAAGAGCATTTGTTTTGTATCTCTGCACAGATGATTTTTTCATACCAAACCTACTCTATTTGATGAACTTTCATCTTAGAAGCATGTTTGGATTGACTTTCCTAAAAGACAACACAATGATCCATACATTGGACATGAGCACAAGGGAACTTAGGATAGTTTATTATATTTTGGCTGTACACAGTGAGCAATGAGAAAATTAAGTAATCTGTGAGTTGTTAGAAAAACCTGCTCTAGAGGCAGGTTCTTCATGCTGTAGAGCTGGAATGCATTGCTAAGTAATGTCTGGGTTTAGAGAATCCTGTAGTAGTACAATGGGGCCAAATAAAGTGGGGGCGTAAGCAGCAAATGGAGTTGTATTCAAACCAAAACCTTGATGAAGTTTTGCTGTTGTGACTGGCCAACAGTAGCCCCTTGTAGGTACGTCATGGGCACCGAGTGTCAGTATGGCAAATGGAAATGAAGCAAAATAATGAAAAGCAGGGCAAAAATAGAATACGGTATGCTGGATAAAAATAATATTTGGATTTAATAAAACTATGCTGTCAGTTGCAGTTAATAATGGCAAACTAATAACTACTAGGTCATCATATATCTGAAAATGGGCCAAAACATCTGCTACTTGGAACAGAGCCTCTCTGGATAGTCATGTGCGTACTTTCATGCAGACGTGATTGCTAATAGGGGATTGGCTTTATTTCTTTTCTGTCTGCACAAAGATTTGTGTTTTTAAATCCCATTTTCTAAAATCAAGTGCTTATTCTTTCTATGGTTGCTTATGGAAACTAGATACAGCATATACTCTTTTCTAAGGTATGTGTTAGACCTTGGCCTTGAATAAATTACGAGCCTATAATTCTATGACTCTGTCATAGAATAAGAATAATTCGAAAACTGCCTGCAGGAAATTGTTCCTCTTTGATACCATTTCAGGAATCTCCCTGACAACAGGTCAAAGACATGGGATCCTAATTCAATAAAGGCCAAGTATTAATTCCTTCTAATATGGGGTTAAGGTAGAGGGGTAGGGGTGTGTGTGTATGTGTGTGTGTGTGTATAACCACTATATAAATATGCATGCATGTATGTAAGTATGTGTACACATATTTTATAACCATTATATGTATAATGGTTATAAAATATGTATATTTTATAACCACTATATAAAATATTCCCTAAATAGGCCTAGACATATTTCTCCTTTCAACTGGAAAGGTTGACCATCAAAAATGGCCTTGAAGCACCTAACAGGATTATAATTTGAGAGTTACTGTTTTCTTATTTATTTTTAAATGTCATAGTTGTAAAACAGATTCCTAAATAAGGTTCTAGGTGCTTTGCCACAAACTACAAGAAAAAAAATGAAATAGCAGCTAAGCAGTCTTATTTTGTCCCCAGAGTTTCCTGCAAGAAACACAGCTAAATAGCCGATTCATATCTAGACAGACTCTCTCATGTGACACTTTCAGATTATCACTGTAAAAAAGAAGATTGCATTAGACATATTTGCAGCCTGAAACAGGTCACCTTCTTGTGGTTTTAAGCAAATCCATCCCAGAAGATAATATTTATACAGGATAAACACTTAATTCTGAAGCCATAACCACACTTCCATAATAAGTGCCAGTGTCTTGCCACTAACAAGCTTTTACCAGTATATACTGTGATAATATGTATTTAAAAAGTTGCCTTTACCTTTCATCCTGTGGAGACCTAAACATTAAAAAGACAAATAAGTATGAGAAATGAGGAAGAATACCATTTTACTTTAAGTCTTCTAACAGGGGTCTTCTGGCAGCAGCTCTGAGATGCTTCAGAGCAGGCAAATATGGGGGGGAAAAACAATTAATAGATTTACAAATAAATCATTAGCGTTATGACGTGGACCAAATTCTGGTTTCAGTGAAGTCAGCTGAAGATTGTTTATTTGATTTCATGGGGCCAAAAAAAAACAAACTAAGAAAAACCAATTACTCTTTAGACATTCGGCCATCTAAAGAATACCTCTATTGAAGTCAATGCAGTTGCACGACAGTAAAGGAGAAGATAATCAGGGCCAATTACTTTACTTCAGGGATAGCTCACAATCACATTTACTTTAAGAAATATAGAAGATGGGAAAAGAGCAGGGCAAAAAGCTCAAATGTCAGTGTAGAACGGGCCATCTTTTATTTGTCTTTGAAAGCAAATTCAGGGCTAATGAAAGGCAGTAGACTGACAGCAGTGGAAATTTGTGAATGGGCAGAGTGCACAGGATTTTCCATACTACATTTGTTTGAATTCTACCTGCTACTTAAATTTAGAGTTGAAAGGTTAGACAAGTTTCCGTGCTTCCTTGGTGCCTATTTCTCTCACAGACAGAGCCAACTATTAATTAGCTTGGGATGGGATGGAAGCCTTTTATCAATTCCAGACCACAATATGGACATTTTACATACAAAGATCAACTAGCAATTGACATATAGTAACAAATCATGAGAAATGGGGCTCAAGATGAACTTGTCAGTGGAACTGGGCAAATGCAACCAAATGCATGCCTACAAATAATCTTTTGACTGTTTGTTTACTTCATTCTGCAAAGATCTTTTTCTCTGGTGTCAGCATGCACATGAGGGAAAGAAGGGGTCTACTCTTGTGCAACAGGAAACTGAAGCACAGAAATAGCAAAGGATTTGTCCATGAAAACCAGGAAGTCAATGACCGAGAGAGACCCTGGACCAAGGTTTCCTGATTCCCAATCCAGTGCCCCAACCAAAAGACTATCCTTCATCCCTTGCAATGCTTAATGTAGTTAGTTTCATAATTGAGCTTACTGCCCGGACTGTTTAGAGAAACATTGATTACAGTACAGCTTGGCACAGACAGAAGTGACAATTTTTGCCTGATCTGGCCCCTGAAAGCACTCTACAGCCAGGACCAAGTATAAGTGCATGGCTGCAGAGTGCTTTAAAATGGCCCTATCCCCTGCAAGAACTGCTTAGTCAATCATTTTGTAGAACAAATACATTTGAGCAAGTCAATGTTTTCCTATAAGAATCATGAGCAGAAAGAAGGTAAAATATGTCAGACAATGTGTTCAAAATGATTCACCTAGCTCTCTTAGTGACCTAGAAGCTAAAGCATTTATATTTTGTCATTAATCTTCTGAGCTATCCAGGCTTCCCTAAAAGACCGGGTAAAAGTGTAACTATACTTGAAGGAGTTTTGTTTTGTTTTTAAGTGTTGCTTGATTTCTTCTGCATTTGTTAATAAATTCAGTCAAATTGTAAACTTTCTAGAACATTGTGGATTTATCAGATATAGATGTTAAACGGTAAAACAAAAGCCTTTTTTTTTTAATTTAGTGTAAAACTGTCCTGGCTGTAGAACTCAAGACAGACACAGAAGACAAGAGGTTTTAGTGGTTGTCAGTAGCAGAAAAGAAAGCACCTAATTACATTTGTCTTGTTTAGAAATCATCAGTAACTGTAAATAACATCAGTTCTTAGAACACCAAAATATATTTGATACACAAAAATATTTGATTTATCTTCCTACCTGAATTCTAGCACATGGATATTCTTGAACCCAGGTAATCCTTCATATGCATTTTGGACCTATTTGGAAAAAAAGGAAATATGGTGTACTATCAATAATACTATTATCTTTTTCATTGGCACTGACATACATTATCAGCTAGAAGTGGAAAATGGGTAGAAAATACACACCGCACTATATAAAAAAATGCTATGATCTGTTAGATATAATGGAAGAGGAAATGGAATATAATAGTAGAATGCCTTAGCTGAATATGTAAATAGAGCTGAGATGGCTTCTCTATTATTACAAAACCAGAAGGGAACTGTTAATATAGCCAGCACCTATAACACATCTGCTGACATTTGGTTGTACACTGGGAAGGGAACTATACAGCCAACTGCCTATAATAAAGTTATTTCCAACAGGTAAGTGTAAGGTTAAAACATAATCAGATAATGTACAAGACCTCGTAACTGGAGGTTGTCAGGTCTCTTGACAGTGATACACAATGTGGACTGCTCCCTTGCTAATCTAGCTCAAACTCTTGGTTTCCCAAAAAATGTTGACTGCCTCCCAAACTCTTTTAATTAAATTTAGGCAAAATGCTTGCGATGTAGGCCCCATTATAGGTGATCCGAAAGCAGAGCAATGACTCAGAGCACCAGATAATGAAGAAAACAGATCATATGGGCTGTCCGGAATGCCTTAAATAGGTGAGAGAGAAGCTAGACAAGCTTTCTGGTACAAAATGCTCCTACACAGGTCTGGGAAAGAAGTAGGCACAGACTAGGTTGAACGCTAGTTAGAACAATTACATCTCTCCCAACTGTCAAGATAATATCTCACATATCTTGCTACTTAAATATTCCCTGCATCTTCAGAGCTACACCACTGCAACTCTCCTGAAATAGGTAGAGAGGTCATGGGTTTCAATTGCAACACAGCAGATTTAGATTGGATGTCAGGAAGTTGTTTTTTTTTTTAATTTATTTTTAGCTATGAGGGTGTTTAAGTGCTTGAACAGATTACCAAAGAGATTACCTTTAGAAGTTTTTATGTAGAGGATACTCAAAATACTTGTCTGGGCTTGTTTAGACAATGATGCTTCTGCTTTGAGCAAAGCATGAGACTAGATGACATCCTGAGGTGTCCTGACATCTTCCAGCCATATTTTTCTACGATTTCTATTACAATATTAAAAGTTCAGGAGTAGAAGAAAGAGAAAGTCCCCTAGCTGGAAGTGTAGCTGGTAGGTGGACTCTGGAAATGCAGGCTCTGTTAACAGGAGATTGTGCTGCATTGTGAATCACAAATAAAAAATCACTAGCAATTTGCTTCAAGTTGGAATAGAAAAGTTCTGTGATTCCAGAATGTTTTATTCTTAAAAATCCCCTTCTCATTTTAAAAATCATCTCTGGTGAGACTCTCGCAATACAAGTACCACTGATTTTTTTTTAAAGTATCTTCTTTATCCAAGCACAGAGAGGTCTAGGCAAGGGATCAAAGGAAGAGAACATCAAGATGCCACATGGCCCCTCTCCCAGCTGACTTTTCTTCCACATACTCTATGGCACTACTACTTGGCCACACAGCTAGGAAAATTAAAAATGTCTTGCCTAAGCAAGCAACATATGACAGTCTTAGTGATGCTCTTTGGCTGCAAGAGAGAGTACATCTATTTTCCATCTGCCCAATATCTGGCATAGGGTTAGTCCCAATTTAATGGATTCAACAGAATTTGCCAAGGAAAGCCCCAACTAATAAGACTGAAAAGGGAGTAAAAAGGGAGAGAGAAGAATATTTATTATGGCTTGTACTTTATAGCACCTAAAGTCTTATGCCTCTCATAAGACAAAATTCAAATGGGCTCCCTGCCTGCAGAGCTGATAGTCTAAATTTAGATGCGACAAGCGAGGGGTTGGTGTGAAAAAAGTTACAGATCAGAGCAATATTACATGGAAGTTCACTTTAAAGCACAACACACATGTATTAGTGGTACAGTGCAGACTTTTTCCCTTTTTTGTAATAAAAAGGTTAGATATAGATACAGATAACCTTTTTATTAAAAAAAAAAATCCCATATCTATGTTTGGGGTAGAAAATACTGTTGAGTCACTTGTAGACATCACAAAAGAGGTGCATTTTCAAGCCCTAACTCAGCAAACATTCTAGCTTTAATTCTATTTGCTTTCAAAAGGACTTAAATTGGTATTTCAGTACTTTGAAGAACTGCTTCAATAAATGGACTGAAGCAAGTAGTCAAATGTTCAGCTGAATGGGGACTTAAATTTGGAGTTACCACTGATTTGGCAGCCTAGATCAGAGGTTCCCAATCTGTGGTACACATACCACCAGCGGTATGCAGACCACCTGTCATTGTTACGCAGCAGCAGCAAGTAAGGGCTCTCAGGGCAATCATGCCTAGTGCAGGTGCCTGGCAGAGCACAGCTCCGGCCAGTGCTGCACGTTGTAGCGAGGGGTGCAGCCTCTGGCAGGCTGGCTGTATCTCTAGTGCTCCCCACACACACGTGTAGCTTTTGTACACTCCAGGCATGGGAGGGAAGCTCCCCCTTGTGGGATGGGGAAGGTAGTGGGCTCCAGCACGCAGGGCTTCCCTCTTATGCCTGGCAAGCATGGGGAGTGCCAGTGATACAGACTGCCTCATGGGGAGCTGTGCTCCTTGCTGCAATGTACAGCACTGGCCCGAGCTTCACCCAGCCAGGTGGCCAGAGTGCCCTGAGCATCCCTGCCTGCTGCCACACCATGGGAGGAGTGCAGGGGTCCCCACACCCTCCCCCACACCCCACACACACCCACACCCTGCTCCCACGACCCCCCAACATACCCTATGCTCCCCCCCACACACAGTTACACTCCTTCACACACACCCTCCTACACACCCTACCATACACGCCCACACCCACCTGGTGGTACTTAAGTTTATATAATTTTAAATTGGTGGTGCACAATGTGTCAGAGTTTGGGAACCACCAGCCTAGATTGCAATGTCTTGTGAAAAGTGTGACATGCCGTCATGAGAACTCCACTCTACCTGGAGAGAAGGGAACAGCACCCTGCTGTTTGGTGACCTTCATAAACTTCTCTCAAGTAATACATTATTTTGGGGAGGATCCTCTGTGCTAATAGCAACATAACTGCTGTTATGATCATCTGAAGATTCATTCTATTCATTACAATGGATTTCCCCAGGTTCATTTCAGCATTCTGCTTTGTCAACTGAACCTGCTGCAGCCTGGTGTGGCCTAATCAGGCCAAAGAACTTTAGGCAGATTATTCAGTATTGAGGAAGCATAAAAATGTGTATTTAAAAAGACAAGTTATGAGACCTAGAGTTTTAAGAATTACTGAAATTCTATCCTAGACAAAAGAGAGTTCTGGCACTTCACTGAGATTGCCTTAAAGCCCTGTTTCTCTCCATAATTCTATCAACAAGTGTCAATGATGTATTCAGCACGAACAGGAGGACCAACAGTCTAAGCAGCTGTGTAAAAAGGCCAAAAGATAGAACTCAACAACCCATAGCTGCAATCAACTAAGCCATTCCTGCCAAGCAATAACATTTTTATAATAATAAAACAAAATAAGTTAATGTAAGCAGAAAAGAAAACAGAGAACATCTCAGGGATCCAGAGCCCCTTGGCTCTGAGATAAGATGTTTGGTCCTCCCACCGAAAGCACCTTCCCAACTTCTGTTTGCAAAGAAGTCAACTTACAGTATGCCAAATAAAGATGGGGGAAAGAGGAGAGGAGGTTAGTTAAACTAAACCTTGTTCAGCTAGAAGCATGCAGTGTCCCTGCACGCTCTTGATAAGGGATGGCAGCATTAATTCAGACTGGAGAATGTTAACATACTCTAGCAGCAGTGTGGACTTGGTATTCCCAAGACAGAAAAAAAACATAGATCAGAAGAGCAAGAATATTTGTGCCGTTGTGATTTTAGCAAGCAGAAATGAGCAAGAGGCATTTTCCAGCCATAAGGGAGCAAAATCCCCATCTTTTTCAGATGAAACTCTGAGGGAAAGCTGTAGCTAATGCTGCTGCTGTATTCTATCAACATTACCGGGAACCTGTAGGGACAAAAAAGACAAGTAAGGTAAATTACCTGGGAAGTAAACTGCTCTGAGAGTAGTTGGTGCTGTACAGTGGATGGGTCACTCAGCTCCTCGCTGAACTTCTCTCCAGAAATAATAATGCTGAATTCAATCATCTGCTCAGGTGTAGGTTTCACCAGCTTTTCATCTTCCTTCTTTATCTCATTGTTGATCTGGGAAGAAAAAAAATAATATGACTTAATGGTCCTTTTCCTCTTCCCACTTCAGTTATTTCTGCATGCAAACAAATCCTGGCTACTCTCTCTGAAACATATTCTGCACTAAATGTGCTTTTTCCACATGTCCCATGGAGGTTCTAGTTTTATGCTTTATTTTGGAGACTTGCCTCTACCCCTTAGTATTTAGTGAACAAGCTGTGGCTTCAGCTTCTATACCTAAAGGATGCTCTGAGATGCATGAACCTGAACAGTCACCTTCCTAGAGGGCCTTTGATTTAGCAGTGTGGTTTCTTGGGAAGTTCTGGTGTCAATGGCTGGTGTCTCCCATGGCTATACTGCATGGGAGTTTGTAAGCATTATTGCTGCTTCAGGCAGCAGCAATACCTCAAATATAATAAGGGATGCCTCACAGATTCATAGATTGTTAGGGGCTGGAAGGGACCTTGCAAATCATTGGGTCCAGCCCCGCCACTCTAGACAGGAAGGCAACTGGGGTTAGGTGACCCAAAGCGAGGTGACTGTCTAGTCTCCTCTTGAAAGCCTCCAGGGTAGGTGATTGCACCACCTCTGGAGGGAGTTTATTCCACAGTCTGGACACCCTGACTTTGAAGGAGTTTTTCTTCGTATTAAGCCTAAAGTGGCCTTCCAGGAGTTTGTATCCATTGGTCCTGGTCTTCCCCAGGGGTGTCCTAGTGAATAGTTGTTCACTGACTTCCTGATGCACTCCCCTGATATAGTGGTAAGCCGCTATCAAGTCCCCTCTCAACCTTCTCTTCTTTAGGCTAAAAAGGCCCAGGTCCCTCAGTCTTTCCTCGTATAGCTTGCCTTTCAAGTCCCTGATCATATGGGTGGCTCTTTTCTGGACTCTCTCAAGTTTTTCAACATCCTTATCAAAGTGCAGTGCCCAGAACTGGACACAGTACTCCAGCTGTGGTCTCACCAGTACTGAGTACAGCAGGAGTATCACTTCCTTAGTTTTACATAAGATGCACTGGTTGATGCATGCTAGCGTGTTATTTGCCCTGATGACCACCGCCTCACACTGATGGCTCATATTCATACAATGGTCGATCATTATCCCTAGGTCCCTTTTGGCCGTGGTGCAAATCAAGCTGTCACCACCAAGCCTATATGTATGTTGAGGGTTGTTTGCCCCCCGATGGAGCACTTTACACTTGGAAGTGTTAAACTTCACCTGGTTCTGGTCTGCCCAACTCCCGAGCCTGTCCAGGTCAACCTGTATCTGCAACCTGCCTTCTGACGTAACCACATTGCCCCATAACTTGGTATTGTCTGCAAACTTGGCCAGTGAGCTTTTCACTCCCCAATCCAAGACATTGATAAAAATGTTGAAAAGCACCACTCCAGGCACAGACCCCTGAGGGACACCACTGGCCACTAATGTTCAAAAAGGTTGAAAACCACTGCAGTGGAAATATGTCCCAGTATCATCCACCTCTTCCCTTTCATGCTCCGCAGCCAGGTTCTGACTGGTTTGGCTCCCTTCTGCGCACAAAAACAAGAGTGCCCTTTATGAAGTGATAATAATCACCAGAAATGAATTGGATGGGTGGTTTGAGTTTTATTTTTATATCTCATATTTATGAAATGGAAACGTTGTTTGGGAGGTTTGTAAAACATGTTAAACTTCACAAAGAATACTGTTGTTGTTTAAACTATCTTTGCCAAAGGAAATCAAAGAAAAATTCAGCAACAGAAACATTTTAAAGCTAATGAGCATCTGGTGCTATATATGGCATTAGAAATTGACAACATGAAGTGTGCTACAGTTCTCAAAGCTTGTGCTACATATAAATCTACCTTGGTTAGTCTGTAACCAAGGTAGATATATATGTACCCTGTGTAAACCTATTCTGCCTTCTACTTGCCTTGATACCAATAGCTAACTACATTTTTCTGCTCATTAGAAATAGAATTATTTCTCCAGAAACTCAGCTGCCATCACATCAGTGAGTGACTTTTAAATCAATTGGAGCTGCATTCATCAACTGTTGGGCCACAGTTGGAGTACTGCGTCCTGTTCTGGGCACCGCACTTCAGGAGGGATGTGGACAGCATTGAGAGGGTCCAGAGGAGGGCCACTTGCATGATCCGGGGGCAGCAGGACCGGCCCTACGGGGAGAGCCTACAGGACTTGAACCTTTTTGGCCTTCACAAGAGAAGGCTGAGGGGACCTGGTGGCTATCTATAAATTTACCAGGGGGGACCAGTGGGGAATGGGAGAGACCCTGTTCACCCGAGCGCCTCCCAAAGTAACAAGGAATAACGGCCATAAGTTGTTAGAGAGTAGGTTCAGGCTGGACATTAGAAGACACCATTTCACAGTCAGGGCAGCTAGGATCTGGAACCTGCTTCCAAGGGAAAGGGATTTGGTGGTAGGGGTCTGTTACAGACCCCCACATCAAGGGGAAGAAAGGGATTCGGGGTTCCTGAGGCAACTCTCGGAGACCATAAAAGCTAAAGAGGCGGTAGTCATGGGGGACCTAAACTACCCAGGCATCTGCTGGGAGTCACAGACAGCAAAGTCCCACCACTCACGCAGGTTTCTAACCTGTGTACAGGACCTCCACCTGACACAGGAGGTACA